TACTGGGCTGGCCACGGCATTTTCCTCCTCACACCCGTGGCTTTCTCTCTAAGAACTCAACTCATTTTCTAAACAGTCAAGGAAGGGGGCTAACGCATTTTGTGACCCCCCGTCAGGCTGACGCAGTCTTGGTCTCCTGAAGTACCTTTATGATTTTTCTCATTGATTTTGTGTGTGTGTCACCGACCTAAAAGTGGAGTGAGAGTACTAACAGTTTCCATTTTACTCTCACCCCCTCTTACAATGAAGGGTCTGAAGGAGTCGATCTTAGTCTGTTCCTCCATTAACTTCTATGATTTAGTATTCTTTTCTAGACTTGCCCAGATAACAGTGGGGCACAGTGTATCCTGGAAAGACAGGGCATGTGATGGGAGAGATATCTGAGAATGTTCTACGTGTTTTTAAGACAGTCTGCGAACTCAGGTGCCTGCAGGGCAAAGCGCAAGACATCAGTGGACCACGCGGAAATCACGCTGTTTCCGGGCACATCTGCCATTCTTTCCTTCGTATAACATAACCGATCCGAGGCAGCCGCTGCCCAGTCTCAAGCTGGGGGTATAATCAGGGATGAGGGGACTGGGGTGAGTTGGAAAGGGCACATCCGGTCCGTAGGGACAGCTGCTGTCTAGCTCTAGCCAGTGAGCACCACAGGAGAATGCAGGCTTCGTCAGCTCTGCCTAGTTGTTGGCTCCCCAGCTGTGGTAAGCACTCGAACTGCAGAGCCTGTGGCTTCTCCAGTGCACGGCTGTCTCCTGGTCTCAGGCCGGACTTTACTCTGATCGACAGAAGTGGTGAGAGTAGGAAGCTTTTCTTGTTCATATTTTTTAAGGGAACACATTTAAAGGCTCTCCATCAAGTATGATGTCTGCTGAGGGTTTTTTTGAAATACAGCCTTAATCGAGTTAAAAAATTCATTTCAACGACTAGTTTTCTTGGCATTTTTCCCCCCAATGAGTGTTGATGGAAATCAAACGCTTGACAATGGCGATCATGTAACAATATGTAAATGCACCAAATCAACATGTTGGACACCTTACATTTACAACATGTTACATGTCATATGTATTTCAATTAAAAAAATAACATTTACAAATTAAGAAATGGCTCTCTTTTGCTCAGGCCCATGGCATGTCTTCATCCTGCCAGGAAGCTCTGTAGCCACTGACAAGACCAGAAGTGGCCTAATAAACAGTACAAGAAAGCACAGCCCAGAGGGCCAGCCCTTATGGAGGCGCTTCTCATGCAAAGGGAACTGTGCTCAAAAAGTAGGGGTTGAAGCCAAACAGCCAACTTCTGCCATAGGGAAGTGTGTCAGGGTTCAGTTCATGAAGAATGGCCAAAAGCTCACAGCCTTTGCACCCAGTGATGGTTGTTTGAACTTTACTGAGGAAAATGATGAAGTTCTGGTTGCTGGATTTGGTCGCAAAGGTCGTGCCGTTGGTGACGTTCCTGGAGTCGTCTTGTAGGTCGTCAAAGTAGCCAACGTCTCTCTTGTGGCCTTAACGCAAAGGTTAGAAGAAAGGACCAATATCGTAAGTTTTGATGGTGACGGCATGATGGTAATACATTTTCCCATGCAAAAAACGCCCCAAAAAACAAACAAAAAAAGAAACGAAACGCTTTGTCTCCTTCTGAGAAAATCGTGAGCATTCTTCCCCCTTGGTGCGGCAGTGAGTAAAGTACGTCCGCATACTTGACAATGTTGAAACCACCTGGACCTGAGTGGTGCGACCTGCTTCTGATGTACTCTTGGGCTCAGTGGCTAATATTTTATTTAGATTTTTCATGTTGATATTTAAACATAAAATAGTCTAAATTTTTTCTGTGCTTCCCTTATATATTTTAAGATAAAAGGTTTAGGGTCTCGAAAAGGGTTAATTAAGCCTCAGCCCATGGCTCTTCCTACGTGGTGCCCTTGTGTCTTCTCTCTCCTCCGAACAACTATCTGTCAGACTCAGAGCCCAAAACTGTGCCCTTTCTCTCATATTTGCTGCTTGCTGCTCATCCAGAGAAATTTCCTTAACTTTATAATTCAATTCTCCTGGCTGTTTCTCAGAGGTTCTTTCTTAGCCTCGACCTTTGTCACAGCATCCTGTTCTTATATAAATAGTATCCCCCCCAGCTTTTCTGAGCCTGTGAGTTGGAGTATTTTTTGTTTGTTTCTTAGGTTTTCTTCTAATTCCTCAAACTTCTTGAGCCTTTCCCCCCCCCCCC